TAGTTAATTTTTTATCAATTTTTTTTAAATACGTAAATGTTCAGAAATGAAAAAAAAATCGATTAAACGGTGACTGTCTGTCCGTCTGTGCACACGATAACTTGGTAAAAAATTGAGATATTTTACCGAAACTTAGTATGTGTACTTCTTTTTAGCCTAGGACGGATGGTATTGAAAATCGGAAAAATCGGACAATAACCACGCCTACCTCCCATATAACGGTAGTTTTCAGAAATACGAAAATACGAGTAACTACTGAAGCTTATTAACTCAAAATTAATATCTAAATGATTTTTATACGACAAATAATAATATTATACATTTTTGGAAAATGGGCGTAGCCACCCCTACTTAGGATTACATGTGTATACCTTGGTAACCGCTTCACCAATTTCTCCAAACTTGGCACAGTTATTGACCTTGGTACAACATAGCAAATGACTGAAACTTTTTAAAATTGTATCATAATCACGCCCACATCCCATATAACGGTTCGTTCGATCAATTTGCACCAAACTCGGTATGATTATTGTGCTTGACACATAAAAGCAAGACTTTGAAAATTATTGAATAGCTAGCATAAAACCTGGACCTGTAGCGCACTCCCGTTCGCTAACCAAGGCCATGCCACATACAAGGAACTGAACGATACGTTCAACTGCTAACCAGTGTTTTTCGGCGCGTAACGAAAAAAAAAATACCGTGAAGTGTTATTAACTCACACCCCTATTGTGAGTGTCGTGTAGTAGTAGATAAACGACTTTTATTCGATTATCGCTTTTCCATGGTATTGGGAATGTCAATAAGCGACTGTGAATAGTTTTTTATCGCTCATTTTTATACAAATGCTTATTTGTAGAAGGATGAGCGACTATAAACTATTCACACGGACTTATTGAACGAGAAACCGACTTTGAAAATACCACGAATATTCGATAATCGACTAACAGCCGTTCATCTACTACTTGTCGACGCTTCGCAGTTAAGGAAAATAAAATCTCGTATCAGCAAGCGCCACTGCCGCCTTATTTTAGTAATAAGTAAACGAAAATGTAAAAATATGGCAACATGTGCCATTTGACATAAATGAGAAGAAGATGGTGCTTCCGTGCATAAAAAGGCCACCACATTGCAAACCTGTCACTTATGCATCTCACAAGGACCGAAAAAAGGAAAGACATTGTGATTAGTTGGCAAAATGTTTTCTAAATTCACACATATTGCCTGGATGATTGGCAAGCAGTTGGCCGCCAAAGAATGTTCGATCAGCATTTGGCATTTTCAGGAAATTAGTAAACCGAAATGAAACGAAATGAATTGACACAGAACTGCACTCACCGATCAAATCAGTTGGTAGCTTGCTAGCTTGCATACCTGTACTTTTGTGTCTATGTATGTGTGTCCGTAGATATTTATCCTGCGGAAATTTTTGAGTATTCTGTAAAATTGGAAAATTGCAAGCGGAAATTGTTGCCTGTCAATTTCTAATTTGAATTTTTTTTTTGAATTTACTTATAGCTGGTTTGCATGCATATTGTTGTTCGTAAAGAATATTGCATTTCGGTTGTCATTTGTGTGCAACTCTGAGGAGGAGGCATAGCTAGAAAGGAATATTCTCTTTTTCATTCTATCAAATATTTGAGGATATAACTTAAGGTGCTCTTACATGATATGCCATTTTTTACTATGGAAATGCCAACACATGGGCGTAGCCAGAACGAACGACGGGGGCGGAGGCCCATACAAAATAAAAAATTCAAAACCAATAACTTACTTATGTACTAAAAAATTTTTTATTATAGCTTAAAATTATTTTAACCAATAAAGGTAAATATGTTGAACAAAAAACAAATAAACAGAAGTTCACAAAAGTTGATATAAAACTATTCGTCGATTTAAATTGTTAATCTTTTACTGAGCATGTTTATTTTACGAGCAGGAAGCACCGAAAGCCTAACCCCGTCCGTGTGAGACTTTAACCCAAACGGGAAGCAAAGCGAATGGGTCTGGTGGTAAACGAGGACAAGACGAAGTATCTCCTGTCATCAAACAAACAATCAGCACGTTCGCACCTTGGCACCCACGTCACTTTTGACAGTTATAATTTCGAGAAAGTAGAGAATTTTGTTTACTTGGGAACCAGCATTAACACCGATAATAATGTCAGCATTGAAATCCAACGTAGAATCGCTCTTGCCAACAAGTAGCTACTTTGGACTGAGTAGGCAATACAGGAGTAAAGTCCTCTCTCGACGTATGAAAACCACACTATAAATGACTCATCATGCCCGTGCTGGTATATGGCGTATTAAAATACAGCGGCTCAATTGGCTTGACCATGTCGTTCGAATGGACACCGACGCCCCAGCTCTGAAAGTATTCTGGCTTCACTTGGCATTTCTAATTGGCGTCAGTTGGTCAAATCGCTTTGGCGATTACAGCGCCAAATAAGAAGAAGAGGAAGAGAATAGATCTATAACCTTATCAGTCACACAGTGTTATAATCCCGACGAAATCCTTGACGGTGGTATCAGGAGGGGAACGGTACATGACGGTAGGAATTTTA